TACGGAGAAAATGAACGGGATTTTGCTTGGAGGGCGGGGCCTGTTTCAATTGAAAAGGCCGCCCCTGCCTGCTGCTTTACTCCTGAAATTTAACTTACACAGGAAATTTTGTTTTTTGGAATAAACTCCCTGTTAGTTAAAATCAACTCAATCTGAGTGTACATGCGTGACCATCAAATAGTTAAAATAACTTAAAATTGAGTTAATAGAGTTAAAATAACTCTGCTCTTGGAGTTGAATTTTTAACACTTTTTCAGAGTTAAAATTTAACTCGTGACACATTGACATTACAGAATGGCTCTTTCGGCATTAACCTGGACGTATAGGCAATGATGTATCAGAACGGGATGTTTTTTAGGATCGCGTGTAGGCTAATCGTCACATCCTTTTGATTTTCCCGGCAAAAACGCCCGAGTCCTCCTCTAACGGCTTTCATAAAGTCGGGGAATGTTGAGTTTCGTCACAACTTGATCACATGGTGGCAATTAAACGGCGATTAATACATAATAATTGTTACATAAAGCCCCTTTAATTGGGCATATTCCTGAACAGCTTCAGTCCGTCTCAAAATAGCATAGGCCCTACTACTACTTTCTCATCATCATCATCATCATCATCATCATCATCATCATGTGTGTTTTGACTCTTATCTGTTCTAGCGTTCAGCGCATCTCTTGTCTCGAACGTGTCGTTTGTGCGAGGTTCCGGTTGCCATGGTTTCGTTGGTTTTGGCGGATGCTTTCAGTTAGCTAATCCTGCTCGATGCTCTCCAAACCCTGAGATGAATGCACTCGATGCCAGACACAGCTGGCCCTGCATTCAGGCCTGCGCATTCACGGGCCCGCGGACCGCCGAGCTCAGGTGAGTGTGTGTGTGCGTGTGTGTGTGTGTGACTGTAAACATCAACACTCATCCTCACTGAGCTCGAGATCAAGCCGTGCAAAAGCAGCGATGTTGTTCGTGAAGAGTGTTTGCTTTGGCCAGCACATCATTTAGCTTTGCTATCAGTGTGTCAGATGTGAAATGTGAAGCACACCTTATATTCGCCCCAAAACAACAACAAAAAAATTTGTTGTTGCAGATATTTATACGTTAATCAAATATAATAGGCCAAACTTTTTTTTCAGGAATATCACAGTGCAATATTTCTCTTTTTTTTTTATGCATTAAATAACTAGCCTACAACTGATGCATTAATAAGAACTATATCAACGAGTGCTATCAAATTGATTAATCACTTCTAACTTAAAAGTTTGTTTATAGTTTGTTTATAATCATGATTAATCGATTTGACAACACACACACATATATATATATATATGTGAATATATATATATATATATATATATGTGTGTGTGTGTGTGTATATGTGTGTGTGTGTGTGTGTGTGCATATATATTTATATATATTTATATAATATATATATATATATATATATATATATATATATATATATAACTTTTATGTTGGATGCGATTAATCGTGATTAATCGATTTGACAATACTAATAAAAGACACAAAAAATAAAAATGACAAATACATAACAAACATTTCAAAAATGTTAACTAAAAGTAAAATGAACGCAGGAAAAATTATTAACAGAAAAACTATTTTTTTTATAAAAACTATAATAGTAACTTTTGCATGGGCAAAAAAGCACTCACATTTTCTTTATAAATTATGAGTAATTTATTTTAAAAGAACAATTAATTTTATATTTTTAGCATGGTATAATTCTATAAATAAAAAAATTAAATATATAAATAAATAAAAATAGAAACGTTTTTTCGCAGACTGTGACGACGCATTTTAATGGTCATCTGCAATCGTAAATCCTGCAAAGTTTTTTATATTTTCTTTTTTTTTTAAATGTACATTCATAACACTATACTTAGTAGCCTCTTATATTAACTTTGTATGAAATTACAAAAAAAAATTAGTTAATATCAATTGTTGTGAAAGTTATTTTGAAAGTTATGAAAACACTATTCATTTCTTTTGCTATTTGAGTAAATGGGAACAAACAAACAAAAAAAAAAATTTTTTAACCTAGTCTCTAATTAACAGCTATAGAAGTTTACCCGACGACTTCTGAGAAACCTGTAAATGTGAAAGGCTCAATTTTGTAATTATTATTTAGAATTATTTCATTTGATTATTTATACCGGATCTCTGAAACAAAGGATTGTGGATTGTCTGGTTGCTGGTGATGAAGACAACATGATGGGAAAGTTAGTGCACCCCCACACAGGGGTTAAATTCTCACACACGGCTCTATTGACGGCGGGGTTAAACTGATTGACATGCTCCCTTTACCCGTCCTTGTTTGTGTTTCCAGTGGATTAGTGTTTCACTGACATGATGTTGCTGGTCTCGTCTGGTCCTTTCATAAATACAACACTAAACCTCCATAATCGGACCAGACATGCTTCATTTACTGTGTTACGCTGAACTTTATAAAGGGGAGAGAGATATTTATGACCTGAATGTTGCTGAATGAGGTCATTTTAAACCATAATGTAATATTCACCGATTTGTAACGTCATCGATGTGAAGCATTCATAATATGACGAGTGAATCAGGATATTCAATGAGAAAGAAACTTGATTTGAATGTGCCTATAAAAATAGCTGACTGTAATTGGCCGAGATTGACGTCAGATGAAAAGGAAAGTTTTTGAAATTTTGTATAATCGTATATATCATATACTGCGTCATTTTGTCTTCATGCATATATGTTTATATATGAAGAGTTCAGATGCAAAAGCCTCTAAGTGCCATTTGAAATTTTCTTCTTTAATGATGATTTTTATCAAACTTGTATATTTAAGTTCAGTAATTTAACTTAAATGGCAATGATAATTACCTATTAATTGTTATTTAAGTGAAATTACTGAACTTAAATATACAAGTTTGATAAAAATCATCATTAAAGAAGAAAATTTCAAATGGTATTTAGAGGCTTTTGCATCTGAACTCTTCATATATATATCCAACGAGTGGATTTTTAAACTGCTGTGAGTGAGTGGAGGCGGGGCTCATTTGCATATTCATAGAACCGCGCATCCTAAATGAGGCAAGGGTGTCGGGTTACATTCAAGCTATTTTAAGGCATGAAGACATTTTTTTTTTCACCAAAAAACCCGTAATATGTCATTTTGGTGATTAAAGATGAGTTTTAAGGGATATTATTGACTACAAGGGGACTTTAAACTGACTTAGGTCAAAAAGAGGTTGAATCTTGTGTAGCTTACAAAAAAAGTTGCAAAACATGTTGTCATGACTTATTGATCACAATGTTATGATGAACTATACGCCAGAACATGGTTTGCGTTCACATTATTAGCTGTTTGATAACATAGTCAAGCAAAAGTCTAATATTAATTATGTGTCCGATCTTGTAATGAGCGAAACCATTTACCTCAGTGGGTGGAGGCGGGGCTAATTAGCATATTCATGAAGCGTGTGTACTAAATGAGGCAAGGGTGTCAAGTTACATTCAAGATATTTTAAAGCATGACTCATTTTTTTTTTCAAGGAAAGAACGCTTAAATATGTAATTTTGGTGATCAAAGATTATTTTTTTACAGGGAGAATTTAAGTACAATAAACTTGGATGTTTAAGTCATTTCAACTTCAATTGTTGAACCTTGTATCTTAACTTATTTTGATGAGTTAACTGTTTTCATAACGTATTGATCATATAATCTTTACAGTCGTGTCTATTGTACAAATCTATTTCACATTTACTTTATTTTTATTTAACTATAAAAACATGAAAAATGATATTTTGTGTATTCTTTGGATGGACATGCACTGCTGAATCCTTCACAATATGAATCAGGAAAGCAAATAGGGTCAATTTGGATTTGATGTTTAGACTTTAATGTCAGGGTTTACATGATTTTCATTAGAAAATGCCATAGTTTCAATGTCAACACCTGAGGGCAGATATATATATTACACAAATGAATCATCAGGTTGCCGTTTGTTCATATTAATCTCTCCCCTGGTGTGGTTTCTGTACCACAGTGACCTCAAAAGAAAAACACCAGTTAAAGGGCTGAGATGCACACGGGGGCACAGCTTCTGTTTTCCCACCACAACACCAAATGTTGTCTCTTCCTCCGCTTTACTGGCCCTGAAAGCCCTGCTCACACCTTTAGCCATTTGCTTCGCTCCAATCCTGATTATGGCTCATTCAGTTTTAGATTATCCAAGGTGTTTGCTCTCCAAATCTAAGATGGATTTAGGAAGTGCTAACACCTACATGCTGTTTTTACAAACTCAAGGTGAAAAAAGAAACAAGTTGCTTTTGCATATCAATACGTCATATGTTAGATCTCCGTAGTGACCCAAAGAATAGGCTAATACAGTGCAAAAAAAAAAGGCCTACTTTTTGTCAGTATGAATGTTTTATTCTGATTATAGTCCAAATAAGGGGAATATAGGTGTAGTTAAATAGTTAATTTTATGAGTTTGCAGTCAGTCTCACAATACTGGACTGTGGCGGGACCAGAGATCATATCAGATTATTATATTTCCACATATCATAACATAGTTTTGACTGATTATTAAATTACATGATATTCCAAAGAATCTAAACATCCTAGTAATACCATGGTACTTTTATTAGGCTAGTGCTTTATTTTAATATAATCGTTCCGCCGATTATAATCGATTATAATCGTTCTACTATATTTAGCTTTGTTTCGAACGATTTTCCAAGCATCCGCGATCTCGTTTCTACGACTGAATTAGCGGCATACGTTTTTTGTTAAACAAAAAAACACACACACACACACACACACACACAGTATTCCATGGCTTCCTGTTGCCATTCTTTTAAAACCTTGGTAGGGTGTGCAGGGAAGAGAGGTTTGGCTTTAGTGTTAAAAAGTGCTTTCGTTGGCCATCGAATGTGTCAATCAAGCTTTCCTGGCTCCCTATTGGTCGGCGAGGTGGGTCTATCGTTCCTTCTCGCACTGTTTCTCAGTCCGTCTGTCTTCAACAGTGCGCCGTCTCATTCCGCGCGTTAGTCTAGTACGGCACAATTTACAGCAAAATCCTGCTCATATTGCGATTAAGTGAGATATACTGCTCTCCGTTGTATTGCGTATTTTAATTGTGCCGCGTGTATAGTAAATATCAAAGTAATCGCGTAATCTACACAGTCCTAGTTTTCTGGGCGTTTGAAATCGGACACCGCTATAACGTCTCCCCTCAGCGCGGAGGGATACACTATTGGGGCTGACAATGTGGACGGTGCTAAAATGTCTCCTCGGAAGATGAGATGTTACATTTGTAGCGCTCAAAAGAATTAGAATAGAACTTTAGTCAGAGTTTTATTTGAGCACAGTTACATTGTAACAAGTCTTGACGCGGATTGTTCGCGTTTCCCGGGAAATACGACCCGTTTTGCACCGTGTTTTTGCGGGACCTGAGACACGGAGGGGGGAAATTTTGTCCCCCAACTTTTCTGTTTTTCCTCTCAGGCTGAAGCGCATTTCTCTCCCGCTGGATGCCGCGCGCGTGACGGGAGAAACGGTAAATATTTGCCACGTTCATCACGTTTTATACGCTTAAATGTGCACCATTTTGACTTTAACGCGCCTGTTGTAATTATCGAACTTTTGTTGCATTGCGAATGTGTGTGAAGTGTTTTGTCTAAGAGCTTTGGTGTGTGTGTGTGTGTGTGTGGGGTTCGAGTCCAGAGGAAACGGCTTCTTTGTTCAATACTGCCAACAATGTCAAGTTTAAAACATCATTTATAGCTCGCTTTTACCACGGTAAATGTGTGTTTACAACTTTATAGTGAATCTTCAGCCTGTTTCACTTGTATATTTGCTCCAATTTGGGTGTTTTTGATGGTTATAACAGATGAAAGTTTGCACTGGGGTTAAATAAAGTCATCTGTGAAGTTAATTTGACGTATTTGCGTTTAACTTGATTTGTTGTGTATTGAGTTGCTTCTTATTTGCTGTTCGTCTGTTTATTTGACTTTTCTTGGGAAACAACTTTTCCTTATTGCATTTTTGGGAATAGCTTTCCCACCTTTTCTTGTGTAGGATATCCTTATCGGTGTTTACATGCTTTTATTTGCTCTATTCTCCCATAAAGAGTGTTTGTACTTGTTCTTGTGTAGTTTTCAAACTTTGTGTCGAGGACCGTGTGTTTCTTTGTGTTGGAGAGGTTGGGGAGGGGGGGGTGTCTTGTTCACCATTTAGGGTGAACGTGGCCTGAAAAGCCTTCATGTGATTCGGCCTGTTGCTGATCATTCTGCTATTGAGACGTATGGATCATATTTGATCTTTTTGATGTTGTCTGTATAATAGCCTACTGCGGTTGCACGTGTTCGAGAAGATTAAAGCTTTGCCCTAAAGCAAAACAGTTGTACTTTCAATTCACATTTATTGTTTTTTGAGTGCTATTGAATGGTGATTTGGTGTTTACTTCAAAGGTTCTTTAAAGATGTCATTATGACCTAAACAACCCTCCATAGTGCTTAAAATATAATCATAACACTTGTGCCATGTAACATGCATGTGAAAAAGCCATGCACACAGAAAACATGATGCTGTTTTGAAATATATAGCCTATAATGATATTAACAGTAAAGTATGTTGCATTAAAAACATGTTTTTGCAATATTATTTGCTCTGAAAACTGATATTTCCATTGTATACACTACTGTTTAAAAGTTTAGGCTCTTTAAAAGGAATTAGTATTTTTATTAATTGGATCAGAAATGACAGTAAAAACATTTCCAATAAATGCTGTTCTTTTGAACTTTCTATTCATCAGTGGATCTTAAATGTCGATTTTTACAAAAAATATTAACTGTTTAAAACATTGAATATAGCAGCTTATTAGAATAATCACGTGATGCTAAAAATTCAGATTTGACCCACAAAAATAAATAAAATTTTACAGTATATTCAACATAGAAACTCGCTATTTTAAATTGTAAAAATATTTCACAATTTTTACTGTATTTTTCTTCAAATGAAAGCCTCCTTAATGTGCATAAGAAGACATAAATGTTTGTGCATGTCCTAAAATCACAGTATAATCATACTGCATAATGCACTTTCTGATATTTCTTTGATAAACATTAAACTGCATCCCATATGAGAAAGTAAAGCAATAATTGCAGTGTCCTCCACCTGTTGATCATGGAGGTGCTGATTATGATTCCAGTGAAGGTGTTATTGATGATGAACGTATTTTTGGATAAATCTTCTCACTTTTCTTGTGTCTGTGTGATGCAGTGCTGATGTTTAATGAGTTGGTTTCATGAATTAAGAAAAAGTGTAAAATCACAGCACTTCCTTTTTTAAACTGGCGAAGTCGACGTGACATTTTTCTTCTGAAAGCTGCCAAAATTAGTTGCAGTTTTGTATAAAAATCAAAATAATATATGCATTGTACATTTTGAAAAAATTCACATTAGAGCTTACAGTCCTAATATCTATTAAAATGTTCCATTTATGGAATTAAACGTCCATATTTCATGCTATGGAAGTGTTTCAAATGCAGTGTTTCATTCCAGGAATCATAAGTTGTTTGTGCAACTAACAAGTTCCCGTACTTAAGGTGTGTGTAACTGTGGGTGGGTAGTAACGCTGGTGGTCTCTCTTGGTGGTTTGACTGAGCTCATATGTGGTGCATTCTGGGAAAACACCACATCTCTAATGTTGTGTAGCTCCGCAGCCGGATTATTCTGTATCGTCCGCATGATGCATGTCAGATTTGATTACTAGGCCCAGATAAGCTTAACCTGAGGTTCTTCGATGATCTGAAAACACACTTGTACATTATGCATCTCCTTCCCTTGCAGGATCATAAACCAGTTTGAGCCGAGAAAGAGAAGCAGATCAAGAACACGCAGGGTCAGGATGGCTACGGTGGGAACCGACCTGGAGCTGAACGACCTGTTGGATTTCAGTATTGTAAGTTAATAGACTGTTCTGTTGTTAATAATAAATATTATTATTGGCGAGTCGACATCAGATGTCAAGCGGAGTGATTTATTATGCTTTTTCTAGGGAGGCACCAATTTAACACATTTGGACAAAACCGATAATTATTTATATTTGAAAGCCGATAACTGATATATTGGCCGATAAATCAGATTTTTTTTTTTTTTTTTTTTTTTTGAGAGTCTGATTACAAAAACAAAAGTCTTACCATTAAAAGCCCCATCCTAAACATACAATTATGATGCTCTCATTATAATTTTATGAAGCCGATATGACAGACTTGCCTGTGTTTTCCTTTTTTAAAGTGATTCCAATCATATTTCAAGCAATTCAAAACCATAATCTTAAACAGTGCACATCTGAAGGAAATAATACAGTTATCAGCTTTAATATATCGGGCAAATTTTCGATAATGATAGCCTTAAAAATCCCTAGCTTTTTCGAATATTACCTTTAATGCAGTGTGTATTAGGGCGGTTTGTGAATGCAAAGTTTTAAAAGTCGCAATGAAGTTATCTCCTAAAAAGAGTCGATTCTGAACTGCTGCAATGAGCCGTTTGCATTGCAATTCCAGTCACACTAATTTGCATAATGACAGCTTTTGGTTTTCATTGGCTCTCCTTAGCTCCGCCCTCTAACACTAGTTGTAGCTGAGACTGGAAGAGTTGTCGCTGAATCAAGTGTTAAGGAAGAGCTGAAATCCAGATATGGGAATGGTGTTTTGTTTCTGATGTGGACTGTAAGCCGTCTGACCAATCAGAGCAGAGCTGCTCTCAGAGAGGCGGGGTTTAGAGAGACTGAATCTTCAAACAAACTGTTTCAGAGCTGATGCTGCAGTGGAGATTATGAGGAAAATTAGTGTTTTTTGTTTTTACATTGGATGCATGTAGACCTGTCATAGGAGACTCCAAAACGCAAACAAAAACTTTAAAATAGCATAATAGGGGCACTTTAAACGGTAAAGGTACAAGAGACTACTGTATTTTGACGACTAATGGCCAAACATGCACATGTCTATACACTGTTTAATTAAACTGTAAAAGATGATTGAAGATATACACACCTTTTCGCATTTGAACTTTTAATTACAGTAAACAAATTCATAAAATGTCATAGACTGAAAAAATTTTTTTTTTATTCATTATAAATTAATTTTTTATAATTACAAACAAACGAAAAGTAACACATCGAGTAAAACCACCAACCACCAAAACCGATTTCCACCATAAAAAAATTGTATTAAATCAAAAATCTAGAAAAAGTAAAACATTTAATAATTTTGTAGAAAAAAAAACTAAACATTAAATATTATTTAAAAATGTGTTATTTAAATAAATATTATAAAGTTTTAATGTCATGAATTAAATAGACATACTTTTTGATTTATTAATTTATGTTAACACGAAAAACTGAATTTGGGGGAGGAAAAAATAATGAAATTACGTTTAAATTGTATAAATTTAATGATTTCAATTAATCAGACATGCTTTTGATAATAAAATGGAATTTAACCATTCATAAAATGTCACAGACTGAAAAAAAAATTTTTTTTGTTTTGAAACCACTTCCTTTTATAAATCAATTTCAAAATTACAAACAAACGAAAAGTAACACATCGAAGTAAAACATAATTTTTTTTTAACAAAGTACAAAAATGTACTGCAGTTATATTTACAACTTTGAATTATTTGTATTATTTTCACAGCGTAGCAGATTTGATTGTGTGTGTAAATGGTTTCACGTCACGTGTGTTTTAGGCAAAAGGTGATGTTTACTCCTTTTAACCTAGAAATAAAGTTATTTGTCAACTATTACTGATGCACATAAGCATATGATGTGTTTTTTGAAGCTGTGGTGTGTGTTTTTAAATGATATCTTCTCTCTTCGCTAGATGTTCCCTCATCAGATGGCAAACGGGAAGAGCCGAGGTCCAGCTTTACCCAGCAGTCAGTTCGGTAGGCACTTTAAAACCATTTACTCTTTTATACTGGAACTGATATAATGCGTATTCGACTTTCGAGTCGCAAAATGGCTTTTAACATGGGAAATATCCCAAATGTTTGGTGTTCGGCGAGTGTTTCTGCACACGTGTCGCTGTCGTTATAATCCCAGTGTTTGCGAAGCCTGTTTGATCCTCGTCGTTCTTGCTCTCGCCGTTTCATGTTCTCAGCTGTCGCCCCTCCATCATGGGGGAGGAGAGGATGATGGGAAATGAGTCGTCCTCTCAACCCCTGCAAACAATGTCAACAAACATTAAAACAACAGGCAAAACAACCCCCCGCCGCCGATTTCCCCAAACTCAGTCTCCGTTCGTCATGGAGGATCAGATTCGACTCTTTGTTTATGAGAATCTCCTAGAATTTCTTTTTGCAGTGTTTTTAATGTAGTGTTTGTATTTAGTTTTCATCTAAAATGAAAGCGTTGAACCGTGACCCTATACAGGTGAAACTATATAATGCAAAAGTTTACATTTATTTCAGTAATTCAATTTAAAAGGTGAAACTAATATATTATATAGACTCAGTACATGCAAAAGCCTTTTATTTGTTATAATTGTGATGATTATGGCTTACAGATTTGAAAATTGTTTTTTTATAACAAATTATAATAAATAAAAGACTTTTGCATGTAATGAGTCTATATAATATATTAGTTTCACCTTTAAGTTGAATTACTGAAATAAATGAACTTTTGCACCATATTTTAATTTTTTCAGTTTCACCTGTTTATTGTTGCTAAACTGTTTAACATTTTTAAATAACTGTACTATTTCATTAGAGATAACTGATACATGGCTCTTTACGACAGCCCGCCAAAATAAAAGTTTGGTTTAACTTTAAGAAATTACAGCAGAATGTACTTCTCAATGTAATCAAAGCTGTCAAATTATTAAAATAGTATTTTTTTTTTAAAGAATATCACAAAATTTTTCTGAATTGTTTTAATTTTAACGGCAAACATTTTGCGTTTGTTTGCCAAAAAAGGATTTTTTTTAACTTTTTCGTTTAATTACGTTTAAGTTTCAAGCCTTAATTTGTTTTCCACCATAAGAAATTTGTATTAAATCCAAAATCTAGAAAAAGTAAAAAAGTTAATAATTTCTGTAGAAAAAAACTAAACATTAAATATTATTTAAAAATGTATTATTTAAATATATATTATTATATTTTTTGAATTATTAATTTATGTTAACACGAAAAAACTGAATTTTGGGGAGGAAAAAATACTGAAATTACGTTTAAATTGTATCAATTTAATGATTTCAATTAATTAGACATGCTTTTGATAATAAAATGGAATTTAACCATTCCAAAAAAAATAAAAAAATAAAATAAAATGGGGGGAATAAACACAATTTGGAAAAATAATAAAACTGATTTCTATTATTGTCAACGGTGTCCAACTTAGTGTTTTTCAGAATATCATCTTTTGTGCTTCGCTGAAGAAAGTCATACAGGTTTGAATTGAGTAATGACAAAACTTGCTTTATTTTTGGTGAATTATTTAATTATTCTGGTGTGACGGAGATCTGTTTGAAATGAGAACGGTCAGCCGGTGATGGTCAGACGGTCGGTGTCATTGTCCGAATCCTCCATGAGTCAGTAGATGACATGTGCAAGAGTGTACGGTTTCAGCACGGCGCTGATTGAGAGAATATGAGTGTTATGGCAGGAGAATCTGCACAAAGAGTAAAACCACATGCTTTTTGTGTGACTTTGAATGGCAAGTGACTCATCCCGCCCAACTTTTACGCTTTGTAATTTAATACTTGATTATTTGCCATTTTGTTTTGAGTGAAATGGCGTTGCTTGTGAATTAGGGTTTAGCCTTTGACTCGTTGTGAAGTTTGAGGAGGGCGTTTGCATTAGGGTTTGAGTCCGTCACCGGCCACAGTTTCATTTACTGAGTACCTGAAACTGAGAATAAGAGATATTTATAACAGCAGAACTCGTGTTGAAAATACAGAAGAATGCAAAGTTTTCATGAATAGGAAAGAAAAATCGCCACACAAAGCTATTAGTAGAGCTAAATATTCTGTTGTATTACTAATTGAAAAAAAAATCAATGCAAGAAACAACATACTGTAAAAATCTGTGTCTATACGAGCACTAAGATAAAACTATTCAAATTAAAGGGACAATATGTAAGATTTTTAGATGAAAATATCCCCAAATCTCTAGAAGTGTCATATGTTGCCAAATCCAGATAAATACACTATTTTAACTGTCCGTGGCATCATATCACCCTCGATATTATACAGGCGAGCAACTGTTTTGATCTTTATCGACCGAAAACGAATCAGTTGTACAGCTTAACACACTTTAGTCTTATTCTTTGAATCTCTCAATTTCTTGATTTATCACAAGTAACATGTTTGTACCTTCGAGATAAGCGAATATGATATTCTGATATTGATCCAGCAAGTTATATCATTACTTTAATCAGTACTTTCCGTATGGTTGTTTCGATCAAATAAAGTGCTATTACCGTCATTTCACTTAATCAGTGGCTTTGTTTCAGTTATTTGTAGTCGCAGGACATTATCATTCTTTCTAAATGTGATATAAACATGATTTCGACACCTAAAATACGACCTGAGGCACTTTAGCACAGTCCCAGTACGGTTATTTCTAACTCGGAGAAACTGAGAAACCAGGCTTGCTGTATTTTATGACGTGTGCTGAACTAAATATGTATCTCAGAGTAAAGAGACGAGACGAACCGACTGATGAAATAAACATGGTCGTGAGTAGGGCTGTCGCTTTACATTTGGAAATCGATTGCCCAATCGGTCGGACCAACTAATACAAGTATCGAAAACGAAAATGGGGAATCGATATTACCAGCCTTTTAACAAAAATGTGTTTTATGTGGACAGATCAATACAGGACACAACATTTAGGATGCTGGAAAATAACTGTTCACCAATTGCTTTTTAATATTCGCTATTAACTTTACTTCAGTGCAAGTGAACAAGCACGCCGTTATGTGTTGTGTAGTGACGTGTGTGTTCAAGTGAGCCAGATATGAGCAGATTGTGTAATACGCTGTATTTAACCCCCAGAGACCTAAGGGTATTTTTACAATTCATTTTCCGTCTGGTGTCATTTACTAAAAAAGATTGTAAAACATCAACCTTTTGGTGCACAGACAATTGACACAGCTCTTTTTTTTCAGGACAAATTGAACTTTCAACATATTTGTGTTGCATTGATGTCACCTGAATGTAAAATAAGTTATGGGACCATAAAGACAAATGAAAAAATAAATCGGAAATTGAATAACTCAAATGCTTGTTGAAATCGCACACAAATAAATAAAAGCTAATCAAATTTCATCTGGAAAATAGTTTGTTCATGTCTTTGGAGTCCTGGAGCACAGGAATGAACATTATAACTTGTACAGAACAAAAACTATTGACATTTTTCCAAAAGAAGTCCAGGCGTTTGGGGCCTCATGAAGTTCACTGGTGCCAAGCCTCAAAACAATTCCTATCAGCAATCACACAGAGGGCCACATCACAGGTTTTGCATTTCTATTTTATTTATTAGATTCTTTTTATACTTTTGTGCTATTTTTATTCTACTATAATACTTTTTACAGTAAATAAATAAATGGCACTTCAGCTGGGTCTATCCTGGTAATCTAGTTCCTCATCTGTCAAAAAGATCTGTTCTCCTGAAAATCCATCATCCTGCATGGTATGGCATCCAAAATAGACCAGCGCTTTAGGCCATCCTTAAAAATATTTTGGTTTGCAGTAACAGCAATTTTTTTTTTTAAAAGGGTCGGTAGGTAGGTCTATATTTTTTTTTCCAAGATTCAGTGTAAAAAAAAAAAGGTACAATTTTGGAGATGGTGATCGCGAATTTAAAAAAAAAAAATGCATATTGTGACGTCACTGACTGGGTCTTCAAACTGTGCATCCACCGCTAGGTGTTAATGCAAAATACGACCAGTTACATTTTAGGCAAGTCACAAAATGTGTAAAATATCTATTTGTTATGCATATATACATGAGATAAGCAAAAACAAGTACAAACACATGGTCAAACAAAGAATACAATTAAACAAAGATACAAATTAGCCTATATACACAGTGCTTTTAATATACACAATTAGCTACTTTTCAGTTAAGTCTGTCGCTCTCTCTGAAAAGAAATTTAATTTAGCTAGTAATCAAATGTAAAATGACACTGCATAGTTTATCATAGTTAGATTAATGCTTATTAAAGTTTAAGTTATTCATTCAAGAGCTGTAAGTGATTTGTATCTGCCTTTTGTTGTTTGATTCGCATTGGCTCAATCGTCACGTTTATTAGACTACTGCCCCTTTAAGACCGAATGCAGAACTCTACTGTAATAGATGACTGATGCACCATCATTTTCTCCCAACTATTTACGTCCAATTAAGACATAAACTGTGTTTAAATGAATCTCAGAGCAGGTCATTTTATATTTTATGTATATTTGATGGTTTAGATGCGCACATGAAGCCCAAAATGAGGCGATAGCCTACTTTTCTTGTCTCGTTTTAGTGCATTTCGGAGCGCGCGTCGCGCGTCGTGAACAACGTATCTTGCGCAGACTTTTGTGCCTTTAATAGCTCTTTTAATGATTGAACGCGTCCGCAGTTTAGCAACAGTACAGACTGCATTTTACAACAATCACCGATCGTGCTGATTCTGACGGTACGTTTGGGTTTTAGGAAGAAATGAAAGCGCAACGCTGTGAAGGGAAGGAAGTTGCGCTAGACAGAATGCGTCTGTTATGGTTTCATCTCAAATGTCTTCTTTTTATAATCTTTGAAAGCGGAAATCTAAAATACAATTAGAATTATATCCCAGATCTAAAGTGTAACCACGTTTTGTCCTCATTGTCACTCATTAAGCAGGGCTGTCGTGCTGTGCGCGCTCCGGCTCCGGGTGAGAGATCGCTCTCTCTTCTGGACTGC